AACCATGTGGCTCGGTAAGGAGTTGTATTGTTTTTAGTGGTATCAACTGTTATATATTAACCATGTGGCTCAGTAAGCAGTTGTATTGTTTTTACTGGTATCAACTGTTTTAATTATTTCTAAAATTTGGCATACAACTTAGCTTAGACATGGAAATGAGGTATTAAAACTAGTAGCAATAAAAGCACAGTTCTTCTGATAGGAATTTGTATCAGTCTATTTCAGATTGGTGGGAATTGATAACATTAGATTTCAGTTTAGTTGAGAACCTGAAACAGTTTTTACCTTGGGTAAATATAAACTGTCTAACTCGCTTTGTAATTTTTGTTTGATTCTAAAAATGTTATGCAGCATTCACTGTAATCAAAAATCAACTAGATAGATCAAAACTAGAATAATTAAAAAAGTAGCTTATATAGCAGCCTTGGAAATACTTAACATCATCATAAAACTATTAATCAGAAAGTTAAAATCTATAATATTTAGAAAGCATGTGATTACGTTTAGCATTAACAATACTAACAATCACTCACAAATGTCAACCAGAGATTTTGATTAGTCACAGATCCATATACTAAGCCAATGAAGGAAAATAATCTTAAAAAGTGAAAATAAGTTTTTTTCTTTTGAATCCTGAAAAGTTCCTTAATTAAGTTTAAAGTTTTTTGTAAGAATCCAAGAAAACTGATAAAGATAAGTGACATCAAGGATCTTGGCTTTCATAATTTTTTACGTTACGGCATAAAACTAAGTTTGAAGTACTCAGTACACTAAGATTCATATTTTCTCAAATCTAATTCTTATTTATTGATTAGAATGCTAACTAGAAATGAAAGTGAAGTTATTTTCATATCTTTATAATTAAATCTTCTGTAACTAATTGTGAATTAAATGTTTTGTCAAACTGAACTGCAGGTTTGCTGCTGCCTTTCAAGAAGGTTCCCATTACTTCATACTGTTGATCATCACAGATGGGGTTATTAGTGACATGCCACAGACTAAACAAGCTATTGTCCAGGCAGCATCTCTTCCTATGTCAATCATTATTGTGGGTGTAGGCCCTGCAGACTTTGCTGGTTGGTAGCAGTTTTATAAGTGAAAGATTATTTTTTTCTACACACATAGTTATTAATGTATAAAGTAACAGTTTTAGTTATGACAATTTTAGTTAAAGTAACTGTTGTGGTTACAGTAACAGGCTGGTTTTATACTGATTTTGGTGTTTCAGTAGACAGAGCTTTCATTTATTAACATAAAAAAATGAGTGGAGTAGTAGGATATAGCCAAATATTTGTATTGCATACAGGTTAATGTGGCACTGTAAAAATGTCTTTTACTAACAGGTTAGTGTAGCATAGTCAAATAATGGTAAGTTACTTTTAAATTAGTATATCAAATTGTCTATACTACATATGGATTAGTGTGGCACAGCAAAATTTGTAGGACTTGTGGATTAAAGTGGTAAATCTAAGTGTTTATCTTACTTATAGATTAGTGTAGCACATCCAAATGTCTCTTTTACATATGGATTAGTGAGTCACAGTCACATGTATTTATTACATATGGATTATTGTGTCGCAATAAATTGTCAGTATTACCTAAGTATTAGTATGGCACAACCAAATTTCTGTATCATGTCCATATTAGTGTAGAACAAACAAATTTCTGTATGACTTATGGATTAGTGTAACACAACCAAATTTTTATATCATTGTTTTATTTATTGGTTAATGTAGACCATCCAGTAGTCTGTATTACTTACAGCTTTCTCGAAGGTAAGTTAGACATGTTTTAGACTATCATTTCCTTGATTGAAGGTAAAACTTGTACATGTAAATATCTTTCATAACATTTCAACTCTTTAAGTATAGTAAGCAACCCAAATTCCTATTTTATATCATATTCTAATTAATGGTGCTCATGATTGTGTAATTAATAATAAATATTGTTATACAGGCAGTGGCATAGCAAGGGTTCTCAGCACCTGGGAGCCAAGACACTTTTGGTGCCCCCGCCTCTGAAATGTTTTGATTATTTGTTTTGTGACTCATTAT